CGCCGCCCCGCCGCCCGCGCTCGCCGCCGAACGTCTGGAACAATAGCGGTGCCTGAGGACGGGCGGCCAGGCGAGCCTATCAGTCATGCCCGGCGGTGGCGCCCTGCGCCCGGCTCCTCCTCCGGCAGCCAGACGCGCTAATGAGCGCTCATTATCAGCCCCGTTCTCGGCTGGCGCGGCGCCGGTTGTGGCCGGCGGCGGTCGCTCTCCACAACGCCACGAGCCTCCGCCGCGCTCCGGGCGCAGGTGAGCTCACTCCGGCCCGGACACCGCCGGTTCGTCTCAGGCCGGGCTCAGCGCACCCCGGCCATGGCGGAGAGACGCCGGCGACGCTCCCCACCGCGGCAGCGTGACCTTTGCCGCGTCCCGTTCGACATCGGGCTTCACCGCAGCGGTGGTGCGCAGTCGGAATGCCGGCCGACGTTGTAAGCTTGATCACCGCGATTAATTATTATCGTTGGGGACGTCAGAGCTGCCGATCGGTGCGCCCCGCTCCGCCGCCTTTTTGTAGGCGTCGATCGTTCCTGGCGAGATAGGAGCGGGCTCAGCCGGGTGAGACGTGATCCGCGCGGGCTGGACGCCGGGATCCCCGCGCACCGTTGGTGCTGCACGGGCGGGCCGCTTGCAGCGTGCCAGCCGTTCTGCCCGGCCGACTAGTGCGCGTCTGCATCCCATCACACGATCACGTGGTCTCCATGACGCCTCCACGCGATCTGAGCGAAGCAAGGATGCGAGAAACGTGCCAAAGGCGGGGGAGGGGATCCGCCCCTCGGACTCAAACCCATCCAAGCTTTTCCGTGCAGGTAATCGTAAGCTTTAAACGAAGCGCGGGGCTCATGACACTCTTCACCACCTTGACCCACTCCCACTGGGCCAGAGCCAGCACGAGCGCAATGTTCAACTGGGCAATGTGACCTAATGGTGGTAACAAGCAGCTAGAATTCAGCAGAGACAGCGCGGTCACATGGTTTTGTGTCTAGCTGGTGGTTGTCCCTGGGGCTTCATGATGCACCCAGCAGCTGAGGCGCTGTCGCGTTCCAGACGTCCAAGTGATCACATGCGCTTTGCACGCTGTGCACCAGTATTGCTAAATTCGTTTATGGTTTAGAGATAAAAGACGTGACTGCTAACGGCCTCGGGGGTAAATTCGGAGCCGAAGACACTCTGACCTGTGACTTGTTGAGCTCCATTCCCGGGTCGTCATCTCGCGATGTGTCCTGTATGTTCAGCGCACCGTTTTCGGCATGGTCGGATATTCGAGCTACGGATTCTTGTCACCTTTTCACGCGCTGCATTTCGATTGTAGAATTGTCCTTCATGGTCCCTGAGCGTCGTTGAATGGCACCATTATGCGTTTCCTCTCTCAGTTCTGTTGGACATTATTGCATACAAGGCGTTTCCACTGTCATCAGGCGGGTTTGTCACGTAGCCATAAATAAGGATAATGTCCTTTCACTGGAAAGGGCCCATGCATTGTGCGGGCTGGAGCGGCGTTCTGCATTTAAATTGCGCAATTGCAGTATCGGTCCGCGACACTAAGTGGCCAGATGTGAAATGCTGCCTCCGGGTGTACCGCGACATCAGTACGTGGAATTCCTACCGCTTCCGTGTTGGCCCCGCTGATGGCTCGTTCTTTTCTGATACATGACATCTGAATTAATTGGCCATGGTTGCTACGAAGACGTCCGTGCATTCTGGAACCTCATTATATACCAGTTTGCAGGGCTGGAGTCGTCAAGAGTCTTCCCCTCTGACGCTGTCTTCTTGGGTCGGTGGGTCCGGCGTGCAGCCGTGCTTTCTCTGGAGTGATTGTGATCGCGCTCACTACAAAAACTGGACGTACGGGCTGCACGGCGTACGTGCTGCACGGCGTACGTGCTGCACGGCGTACGGGCTGCACGGAATGCTGGGGCGCCCTGGCGCGCGTCAGCAATGCGATTTGAGTGAGGTCCAGGAATGGAACTGGACGACAAAAAATGTTAGCAGATATCGCCCGGGAACCTAGAGCTTAGGTTTGTATATTTGAGACAAGGCAGCGTTTGCCGATTCTGGCAGAGGGTTTGCTAGGCCGGCCTATGTGATCGAGGTGCATACACGTACAAGTTGTGCCGATGGATTCTGTGAGGTATTATGCCGTCTGGTTGTCATCCAAGCAAATCGATGCGCGCTGGACGACTGTGACACTACCGAACCGTGTGATAGCAAGTGACGTGATAACTTAGTACGGTGGTATGTGATAGCCTATTGCTTTCCTGCAGAGGCATTTTCAGAGTCGGAGAAATACAAGAAGATCCCAATGACCCATTGACGCGCTATTCATTTCACATATTGGCCTTGATACACGAACGCGATCAAGCCTACGTCCCGCCACGAAGTTGCCCCCCGGCGCGGAATAGTGGATTGGACGGCACTGCCTCGCGGCGGAGAAAGCACCGGCAGCTCCCGGCTCTAGGCCGCTGACCATGTCCCCTGTGTCTGCGGTACAGGCAGCCAGAAGACCGCTACGTTAATAATGCATGCCGCTTATCCATAAGGATTAACGGCTGTATTAGCGGATAGGCAATTCACGATTATTGCATCTCCCTTTTAGAATTTAAATAGTGCCTTGGCCTTTGCCCACGAAGGCATTTCGTGACGCGCATCTGCCCAAATGGATACACATCCACCGGGCGCTGTACCAAGATCCAATCGTCGGTTTGAACACATCTGGCGGATATTTAGTATCTCTGGCGGTTAGCATCTTGACACTTTTAGAAATCTGATATTTCAACTGATGACGTCACAGGCCGCGTAGCATGTTTCACTTCTCAATACAATCTGACGCCTTAGGGGCTAAGAAGCAAACAGCTGTGGAGTTTTAAAACGGTCGTCGTACGGAGGATAGCTTTCTTCCGCACACTGACGCCATACAATGGTCAAGGTCAGCGCGAGTTACATGAGTTCAATGTCAGGTCAATCGTCGTTGGATTGTGCATGTGAGGACATTGAAATGACTTCATGTGAATTGAAAAAGTTAGTCCGAATCACATGACATACGATAGATGTTGATGTGTGTTGGCTGTATACGATACAACCAACAAATATCTTACATATTTGTTGAACGTATAGGATATTTATTCATTTGTGCGTTGTGACATACCATTAGCTAGTTTGTACATTTAATTTGTCTTAGGTCTATTTGTCTATGTATCACTGATTGGTGAGATCGATCATTGAGGCTCAGGATTTTCAACCAAACACGCGGCAGGGTTATTGGTTGAATATGGTGCGCTCAGGACGGAGGGGCAATTTAACACCCTGAGATGTCAAATGATAGGAGATCTAGATAAATCCAATTTACAGTGCAGTTCGGACTCATGTGAATCATTGGTGTAAATTTGTCAGGCTCTAGATGATGAGCTCTGGGTCAAATCTGAATCAGGTTGATCAAGTCAGACTTCGAGGCCGGTATCCGTAGTATCCCCATACAGCCTTACGCAACCGGCTTTAACCCAAATACATTTCCTAAGAAAGCCGTCGGTCAAAGTATTTCGGAGTGAATACCCTGATTGATCTTTGGGGAGCCAAAGTGATACAAAAGCTGTGAAATCATTATGATGTTCGAATGTAAGACCAGCGTCAAAAACTGCCCTAAGTGACGTGTTCGTCAAAATAAAAGGTTAATCAAGTCATTTTAGGTGAGTGACCTGACCTGACTATTGAAGGTATACGCACAGTAGTGTGTAGTTGTGCGCGCCGTCTCGCTCACTTGTGTTTTAGTTGTGACGTCGAAGCATGCCGCTGTTGCTCTGGCTGCCGGATGACGCCCATTTCGCGAAACGGCGGCAAGGAAGGCAGCACTGCAACTTGGTGCAATCATCGCCCGACGACGTTGTTGTAGCCATAGCGGACGTGGCCGTGGTCAAAGTCGTTGCGTCGCCCTTGATTTATATTTGAGCTAGCCGACGTAGTGCTCCGTCTGAGGAGATTGCTCCACACCCACTCCGCCGTGAAATGGTCCGCCAGGTGTCATCGCGATCGATTGGACAGTTGCTTGGAAAAAGTCGGACGTTGTCTCGGCGAGATAACCCCTGGCAAGCAGCCGCAGCAACTGAGAGCTAAATATTGAGCGATAGGAAAAAAACGCAAGCGTTTGCTCATCGCCCACGTTTTCCGGGGGCATTAGGCTGTGATTTCGTTTCCTTGACGTAGTTTTCAGAACTTGTTAGTGGCAGGATATGTATCTTAAGCACCAACCCCGTTCACCACAGTAGGCATGTTTGTCCCAGTTTAAATGCTGTTCCTTGGGCTTTCAGTTGAGACGTAGTAACGGGACAGGGGCCAGTGGTCCTCTCATTTCTCGCGAAAATAAACTTTGTGATGGCGTATGGATATCATGGAGTTCAAAAGGAGATTAGGCCCTTGCCTTTCATGATGCATTTCCATGCTCCTGGTCGTCAACACCAACCATAAATTATGCTTGATTTTTCCTTGCCTTGCGCTGGAGTCAGCTAAGTACGCATTAGCTTGTATAGGGCACCGTAAAACCGAAATGCATGTACCACTTAAGCATGAGTGCAGCCAATCGGCCGATTTTGTTGTTGTTAACTTCAGCGGAATTGACACCTTTAGTGCGGACTTTAAAATTGAGCCACATGTTCGTAGGCATGATTCGCAGTAGATTTAACATTGCCCCGCACAGTACTGCCGCTGTACTGCAACGCTTGAAACCAGCCACTACCAGTGTGCAACAGCTGTACTGAACTCCAACTGCGGTGTGTAATGAGCTACCGCATACGCCGTTAACTGCTGTGTGCCCCGATATCGGCGATTTGTACCGTCAGCCGCGTGCACACCCTGAGCTGCCATGTGCGCCCCCAGCTACCACGCGCAAGATAGCCAGCACAGGTGCGTGCGCTGCTGTACGTACCGCCAGCTGACGCGACGCGCCGTTTCAGATGCGGCCGGGCGTGCGCGCCGCCGCCGCCCGCCTGCTGGTGCTGCTGCTGGGCCCAGCGGCCGCCGCGCTGCAGGCGTTCGTCCGGCAGCCGTCCGACCAGCACGTCCGTCTGGGGCAGACGGTGGTGCTGCCCTGCCAGGTCGGTCCGGATGCCAGGCGCTGGAGCGTGGCGTGGCCTCCCTCCGGGACGACCAACGGTCGGTCTGGACTGACCACCAACCACTGTCCACTGGGCCTCCCGCCCTCTCGGTCTGGGAGCTGGCCGAGGCTATGCTGCGTTTCGAACGGGTTGAAGGACTGTGGCAGTTACGGTGAAAGCCTGTTAGTAGTCTGCGTCTGGACTGTCTCGTCGCAGCAGCGCATCTGTTGTAAGTTCACATTATGCATAACTTGGCTTATGCTACCAGGCACCACACTCTTCACAGCGCACAAGTATACCAGAGGTCCTCCTGCGATGCATACGACCAGTCATAGAGGACTTCTGTAACACATAAGAAAGAAGCAGACGCATTGTGATGGTGCAAAACTGAGCCAGAGGGAGGAAAGTTTTTGGGAACTAGGGGCACATGTATTGTGAGCTAAGTAGCTTCTCTGTCAGTCCCCGACTCCTGTTAAGGCAATGCACGTTGGACGTTTTGGAACACTTTAGCTGTTTGTCCCCACAGTTTTGCCGTATTTTTCATGTGGCTTCTAGAGTGGCGCAATATCGCTGCTTGTAGAATATGCGTAAACTTCCTTCAAAATAAAGCTATTGTGGGACGGTGACAACCAGTGCTCCTTTAGCAGACTGATCCATCTGTATGTCGTGGGTTGTCCGACAAAACGGCTACACGACGCCGTTCCGTCCGGTTCACTTCATGTAGCGATTTCCCATACAGTTCAGCATTATGTGCATGTACCCTTTTTCCCCGGCCCTAGCTGCAGCATTTTGTATAGTTTCAGCTTCTTTAAATTCGCATATCCACGAAATCAGAATCTAGCATCTCCCAAAATCGTATGGACTTGTCCGCACTTGTCTTGTCATCCAGCTCTTCCGCCCGCGGTGCTCGCTTTCAAGCCATGCCGCCAGCTGGAGGCGCAGTGTTAGTGCTAACCAAAGTAGCTTGTGCTGCTCACTGCATTATTTATATAAAGCATTTCAGCGCGGAGGTGTTGCGCGGGCAGCGGGGATTGCGAGCGGTAAAAGATGGATCTGTCGGCAGCTGTCGGCTCAGGCTTGATCCTGACACGCCGCATAACACGTCAGAGAAATGTACGTGATCTCGATCGTTCGTGACACATTTTTTTTTCTGGTTTGGAGATCAAGCTCTAGGCATTTGTGCAACTTTGCCGTACACGCTGTTATTGACAATTTGAAGTGTTCGTGCTTTAGCTGTTTAGCTATACTTCGTCTGCAACGATCCTCAAACGCAAATTTCAGCATCTGCTGGATGCTAATTCCTCAAAAATTAATCATATTTACGTTGGCGTGTGTAACTAACGGAAATAGATGAACCAGTTTAGGGAAGTGCAGGAGAATGAAGAGAAACACACGCATATACTAGGGTAACCTGTTTCATCGGTCCCGATGTGCACGTCATGAAACATGGGTCTTGCATGCAGCCTTGAAAAGGCGAAGATACCTCTTGCAAAATATACACGTGACGTCATCGTCCTAACGTAACCCGTCCATTCACAAGGCTTGGCTTGGTACACGATACAGAAGGCCCAGACGCGTAGGTCATGTCATTCAGGGTGTCTCAGTCTAAATAATTCAGCGTATGTTCACGCAAGTGGAAATTCTTGAGATTACGGGACCAGAATAGCAGCGTGGGAAGCACTAATGAAACGCGGATCAGAAATGCATATGTTTTAACCACGTTGCCATTAGAAAGTTTAGTGGCCCCAGTGTTGCATCTTCAAAAGGACATTGAGGGACCGAAAAGTGCTTAGTAAGCCAGGAAGTATGATCAAGCTGTTAAGAAATTGTCTTTTGGAGTAAGGGAAGTTTAACACCTCCAGCTACCTAGACGAAAGCCTAGGCAAAGACAATCGCCACCGCATTGCAAAAGATAATGCCGATGCATCCCGAAAAGGCCCCCAGTGTCCTGTCTTTGTGTGGCAAGTGGCGAGCACCACTCCCAAACAGCCCAGAAGTGCCATCAACAGCCGTGCGGCTCCAATTACTGTGGCTATATTCCCAACGCTCCAGAGTCATGGAGTGTGTAGTGCTATACCTGCTGTTTACGTCGTATTAACAAACCGTTGCACTGCAATTCCAAATTCCTCTCAATTTCCCAATTCCCAATTCCTCTGCTGCAATTTGCAGCAGAGGTTTCTCATTGAAATGTTAGGGCAGTTAGGAAGCACGGCATAGGGATAAGAAGAGCTTAAGGCTATTTTGGTCGCCGAAATCCGATTCCAGAACAGTGAGGAAAAGAACCAGATTACGCGCCCTAGTAAACTCCCAAAGCCGTCTGCAGTATCAATTTAATACTGGTATTAGGCTGGTGGCTCTGAGCAGTCCAGGTTATGCTGATCGTCTTACAACTTAACATTTCCCATTCACAGAGCAAATTAATCCGGACAATGAACAGGTTCTGGCCAGAGCCGTGCTTCAGGCTCTACAGCCCCAGACCGCGAGTGAGAGGGTTAGCAAGAAGGCCTGCTCTGTGTGCTGGAGAGCGTTGGGAGGCCGACTCTGTTTGCTGGAGAGCTTGAGTAGGCTGACTGTTTGCTGGAGAGCGTGAGGAGTCTGGCTTTTTGCTGGAGAACGTGAGGAGGCCGAATCTGTTTGCTGGAGAGCGTGAGGGGGCTGACTCTTTGCTGGAGAGCGTGAGGAGGCTGACTCTGTTTGCTGGAGAGCGTGAGTGGGCTGACTCTATTTGCTGGAGAGCGTGAGGAGGCTGACTGTTTGCTGGGGAGCGTGAGGAGGCTGACTCTGTTTGCTGGATAGCGTGAGTAGGTGGCGCTGTTTGCTGGAGAGCGTGAGGAGGCCTTCTTTGTATGCTGGTGTGCCTGAGACGGCCGAACTTGTTCACTCGAGGGCGACTGACGCCGTGGACTGGCATACTGAGGAGTGCGACGTCGGCACGCGTTCGGCAGGTGACGAACGCGGTGGGTAAGGTGCAGTGGACCCGGGACGAGTTCGGCCTGGGCACCATCCGAGACCTGCCCAGCTACCCGCGCTACCAGATGATCGGCGACGACACCGAGGGCATCTACTCGCTGGAGATTCAGCGCGTGGCGCTGGAGGACGACGCCGTGTTCCAGTGCCAGGTCGGCGCCGCCGCTGGGTCACCCGGCATCAGGTCAGTAGTAGTGGGGTCACCGGACGCTACGTCAGTCGGAGCCGGGTGTCTCGAGCGAGGTCATCTGACGGAAGGTAACTGGGAGCACGCCGACACGGTTTTGGTGGGCACAAGATTGCCCAGCACTCGGCCCGCTTGAGCTGGTCACCCGGCGGCACTCGGCCCGCTTGACCTGGTCACCCGGCGACAATCGGCCCGCTTGACCTGGTCACCCGGTACCAGGTCACTGAAGGGCCAGCTCACCAGGCATGGGCGCGGTGGGGTGAGGGGTCAGGGGGCGGGGGAAGGGGCGGCGCCTGGTCAATGTCAGCTGTATCAGAGGTCGGAGAGATCCGACAATATGTGGATGACTTGGGAGATGTCCTGCTCCCGGCCAGCGGTTCACGGGTTTCGTGAAGTTTCATTGGTTTCCTGAAGCGAAACCACCAGCCTGTGCACTTCTGAACAGCGCCGTGTAAGTATTCACACGGAATAAAGACAAGCCAATATAACGCCAGATTTCGATTGGAAAGGCCTTAATTAACATGACCTTTTTAGCCTTTACGGTACATACGCATGTTGAATGCAGCGTGAACCAACAATAATCAACAAAGTTCTTAACTTTGCTCTGTGATTCTGGACGAACCAAGCCATGTCCACCCGGCCGCGGGACGTACAAGGTCGACACAGTCGCACTGGTTTTGCCTGACATCGTCTGAGAACGTGAAATGTAATGTCATAAGCCTGGACTTTATAAGTTATTTAAGTGCTGAAATGCTTACATTTCTTGGTAGCCGTACGCCGCTGTAACTTATAAAGTGTGCATTATCGTTTGACATGCTTCTGAGATACCCTCCAATAGTTGCATCTGCGGAAGAAAATTTTGCCGGTCAAAAAGTGCGATGAAGCTGTGAGTAAATGATAAGGAGAGTTACCTGAGTCTTACACGTCTGTAGCCTTTTGATATCATTGTTCGAATTCAAATGACATTTCCACTCCCGTTTTTATCCTTACATCTTTAGTCACGCCAAAGCTATGCGGAAGCTCGATCACAATGTGCCACCAACAATGCTGAAACGAATTCAAATCCACGCCGCGAATTCCATATGGCAAAGTTTACGTTGGTCCTCCCCTGGATTTCAGTCGCATCAGTATTTTCCGGCCCACATTGCGCATCCTAAAGAGCATGACATGACATAACATGGATATATGTTACGGATTAGTGACAGATTCTGGAGTATTATCACCTCCTGATTCAAGTATTTTATTTTTCGTTGTCGTTCATCTTGACGTTTCATACTGAGCCGAACTAAGCTGCCAGTTGTCCCCGTTGCTGCGTGACGATGCCCTGCCAGGCGCCCGGTACATACGGCGAACGAAGCGCCGCTACGCAAAACCGTGCTCAATATTGAAGGCTCTAGTGTGTGTCTGACACTGAAGGAATGCCCGGCGCGGCGAATGTTTTATGCCTTAAGGTTGCCACAGCTCCATGGTATCGTGCTGCTTCGCATGGTAGAACGGTGTGCCACCGTGCATAGGTTTTCGACGGCTTGATCTTGTTTGTTTGCGCTTTCCAACATGCAAACAAGCGACGTAAGCATTTAGTGCGTGCGAGCTTGTGCCGTTCTGTTTGGAATTTTTTTGTTTGGTAGGCACCTACCAAAACAGATTAACAAGTTTGCGTTTCATTAGACAGGAGGTTTTTCCTCTGAAATCCTTTTCTTCATGCGTGTGCGTTTAAAGCTCCATCCCACTGTCGTACTATGTAAGAAAGCCGTAAACATTTTTGCATATAATATCAGTTAATATCAGCTATCAGGTTACTTTGCTTGTTTCATATTGGCATTCAAGTGGCGGAAAGCTAGAAGTACCAATTTGTGGTAGGAAGGGCTGAATCCAAAACCAGAATTCCAAACCACTTGAGCATGCGCTCTAGAAGGTGGACAGCATGAAATTAACTGTATAGCTCTGTATTACATATATCCAGTTACGTGTATGAAGTGAGTATGCATGGCAAATATTTATGAAGATGCAATGTGCAAGTATCTCGCAAATGGTTGATACAATTCTGATTAAATTATGCTTCTTCTTATGAGCTGAATGGGTGAATTGGGAGAATGCGTGGTTACTAGGATATGCTTTGAAATATCCCGTCAGTCCGGCCCAATTTGGTTTTGGCTCGTCAGAGAAACTTTGGATGGGATGGGATGGGATGGGATGGGATGGGGTGAGATGAGATGAGATGGGATGGGTCGGGTCGGTTCGGGTCGGATCGGGTCGGGTCGGGTCGGGTCGGGTCGGGTCGGGTCGGGTCGGGTCGGGTCAGACCGTAACGAACCGTGCTGATCAATTGAGGCAGGAGCTATTCAGGTCCAAAATGGGTCTTGTGTCTGTACTCGAAATCCTGCTAAGCCTGTCAAGCTTTTACTGCAGCGAGTCAGCCTCCCCGCGACGCGATGCAAGTTGTCATGGGCTCATGTCAGCAGCAGCCTCGGGCCTTACGGGAGCGCGCCGCTGACGACAGTCCCCTTTCGCCGCAGGTCCCGCGACGCGCGCCTGACGGTGCTGGTGCCGCCGGAGCCGCCGCGGATCGTGCAGGGGGACCAGCTGTCCACCACAGCCGGAGCGGTGGTCCGGCTGCAGTGCGAGAGCCGCGGTGGCAAGCCGCCGGCCGAGGTGGGTCGTCGGCGGCCGCGGCTGCGGCTGCCAGCGCTGACTGTGGCCCTGTCGGGCTCGCCAGCTGCTGATGAGATTCTAGATAAAGGAGATGCTGCAAGGATTCGTCCTGGCAGCTGTCAGACGATGTCAACACAAGCTCCGTTGCCATATGAGCTCACGTCCACATCTTCTCCGCCACGGCCAATCTCGTGGACCGGAACCATGCCCATGTCCATGTCTGTGTCCATGAGCCGTCTGGTTGTGCCGGCGCCACCCGGTCTGTGTCCAGCCGGTGTCCGGAGGTGCCCCGCCGCCGCAGCCGCCGGTCATGTGTCCAATCGTCGAGCTCATCTCGTGGGCCGGCGAGGGCGCCTATAATCGCCGACTGTCACGCGAAGGTCAGGCCACCGGCGATTCAGCGAAGCTGCGGCTCACCTCGTGAACCCTGCGCCAGATGAATCGGTCCTGAATCAGCCGTGAATCACACCCACACTGAGACATTCCTCCGTTTCCGACGCCCACGCACTCGCACTGATGTGGAGTGGGTGAGTGAGTGTGCGTCTAGGTGAGTGGTGTACCGGTAACCGTGCCACAGCCTCCCCCTCCGTTACGGCGGTAAAAATTGCAACACTGAACGAGCCTGACCGCAACCAAAGCTGAGCTCTTCGCACTGCCCCCTCCCCCTGCGCAGATCGAGTGGTACAGCGGGGACCGGGAGCTGATGGAGAGCTCCAGCCGCACCGAGGTGTCAGTGCTGCCGGACGGCAAGCGCAGCTTGGTCAGCTCCACGCTGACGCTGACGGCGGCGGCGCGCCACCACGACACTACCGTCACCTGCCGCGCGCACAACTCGGCGCTCAGCGCGCCACAGACGGCCGCGCTCCGGCTGCGAGTGCGGTTCGCGCCGCAGGTCACGCTGCGCGCCGGCGCGCCGCGCGTGGTCGAGCGCCAGGACCTGACGTTCACGTGCTCCGCCACCGCCAACCCCGAGCAGGTGCGGCCGGGTCGCGGGTCACGGGTGGCGTTGCGGGACGTGCCGGGGGTGGGTGCCAGCTTGGGGTGGGCTGGCGTTGGGCAGACCACAGCAATGCGTGAGTGAAAACCGCTGCTGGTGCGTGCCTTCTGTGTCGCTGTCATGTGACCCCCCCAAGACTGTCTCGGCATTGAGGTCAAACGAGACCCTGCCCGGGGACCGTGCCACGTGTGCTGTGCCCTGACGACCGCGGCCGCCGCGCCCCAGGTGAAGTACCAGTGGTTCGTGAACGAGGAGGAGCAGGCGGGCCACAACGGAGCCCAGCTCGTGCTTCGGAGCGTGGGCCGCGCCCTCAACAACGCCACAGTCCGCTGCCGGGCCGAAAATGAAGTGGGTCCCGGTAGCGACGTCCAGCGCGTCAGCGTTCTCTGTAAGTGCCTGATGTCGAGGCACGTGGCTCACCGGCTGAACACGACCTGCAGGTGTGGAATGGGTTCCTGCCAGAGCCCTCTGGACTTGCACACAACTGCCGATGTTAAAATAGCCCTCAATGCAGCCAGCCGCGTCCGTGAATGTGTCGGCGTTTGATGTGCACTGAGCAGTTATACTTTGCGACCATCGCGTAAATGTCACCCGTGAAAGTGGCTGGAATGGATTGGTGCAGAACGGCACCTTACACGGCCCTGTGACCAGTACTCCGGCTGAGCGGGGCAGACAGGGCACGCCAGGAACTCAGCAGAAGGGCCCATAACCCCCAACCCGTCTGCTCGGTGCCTGGGCGGCAGACAGCTGAGGGCGGTGGTCACCGTTAAGCACGAACGTACACGGGCCCGCGGTGTACAGAGGTTCTGGGGTCGCCGAGTTACCTCTCCGACCTGAGCCCACGGAAGGCGAGGGTTCCTACAGTCCCGGGTGACCTCTGTGACCTGAACCCACGGCAGGCGGGGGTTCCTACGGGCCCGGGTGACCTCTCCGACCTGAGCCCACGGAAGACGAGGGTCCCTACAGTCCAGGGTGACCTCTGTGACCCGAGCCCGCGGCAGGCGGGGGTTCCTACAGTCCCGGGTGATCTCTCCGACCTGAGCCCACGGAAGGCGAGGGTTCCTACAGTCCCGGGTGACCTCTGTGACCCGAGCCCATGGCAGGCGGGGGTTCCTACAGTCCCGGGTGACCTCTCCGACCTGAGCCCACGGAAGGCGAGGGTTCCTACAGTCCCGGGTGACCTCTGTGACCCGAGCCCACGGCAGGCGGGGGTTCCTACAGTCCAGGGTGACCTCTGTGACCCAGCCCACGGCAGGCGGGGGCCCCTACGGTCCCGGGTGACCTCTCCGACCTGAGCCCACGGCAGGCGAGGGTTCCTACGGTCCCGGGTGACCTCTGTGACCCGAGCCCAAGGCAGGCGGAGTTTCGGGGTTTCCGTGTGACCTCTCTGACCTGAGCACCGGGGCAGACGCGCCTCGGTTCCGCCAGGAGCCGCAGGACGTGGCGGCCGACGCCGGCCACGAGGTCAGCCTGCGCTGTGATGTGGACGCCAACCCGCGGCCGCGGGTCACCTGGGTCAAGCGCGACTGCCAGTCCTGCCAGCGGGTAGGTCACCGTCGGCCCGCTCGGCTCGGAAGGATGTCTGTACCTGTGCTCGGTCCCGTGTCTGTACCGTGCCCAGCCCCGCGTCTGCTCCGTGCCCAGCCCCGTGTCTGTTCCGTGTCCCAGCCCGTGTCTGTGCCGTGTCCCAGCCCCGTGTCTGTTCCTTGCTCCACCCCCAAGTCTGTACCGTGCCCCAGTTCCGTGTCCGTTCCGTGCTTTGTCCCGTGCATGCCCTGTGCTCAGCTCCACGTCCCCCGCGCGTCCCGTCCTATGTCCGGCAGTGGTGGGCTGGTGCGGCGGCCAGCTGTCTGGACCGCGACCCGTCTTTTGTCCGGCCGTGCTGGGCCAATGCGACGGTCTGCTGTCTGGACCGCGGCCCGTCCTTTGTCCGGCCGTGCTGGGCCAGTGCGGCGGCCTGCTGCCTGGACCGCGGCCCGTCCTTTGTCCGGCCGTGCTGGGCAGGTGCGGCGGCCTGCTGTCTGGACCGCAGTGGACCCGTGATTGTCGGTCGTGACTGTCGACCGCCACGCCAGGCCACGCTACGCCGGCGCTGCCGCGACCTTGGCTCCAGGCTTCAGCGAATGTGGCGAAATAACACTCTGCTACATTGACATGGGTCGTTGTGAACTATGAACTAATTTACAGGCTATTTTTGACGCTAAAGTGTCGTCAGTCAATCCCTACGTGGGTCGTTTTGTGCTTAAGTAGAGTCATCTTGCAGCCCATGCGGTATAAGTGGCGACTGATGCCTCAGACCACGTGACCCGCGATGTGCGTAAGCAAATTATCGTGTTTTCCACATTAACGACTTTAAAAGCACGAAGCTGTAAATTGAATACTGAGGTCTATGGTGCTGAAAGTTATAAATGCTGATGATGAACAGTTGTTTGTTGGTGTATTCTATGACAATAAATTTAGCACAACAAGTGAATGCATAATAGAGACGAGATTGGCAATGCCGACGTGGGTATTTGTTGCAATGCAAAACCCAGGCACACGTGATATGCACCGTAAGGTGAAATGCATTGAACTATCGTGGTGGAGACCTTGGAGGCTGGATGATCAATACTTTACATGAATCTGGGGCTCTAGTTTCAGACCATGGTACATTGGCGTCGATATTTCAGACCTATATTGCAAAGTCCGGAAGGTTTATTGTTGTTCAATGTTCGGTTTCATCCGGCACATGTCCATTTCGTCTCTCATTAAAAAGCGAAGGCTTTTGGTAGATGACAGCCAACAGGATGCTTGTAATGCTGGACTTCACATCACTAAAACGAGAACTGGTTTGCATTTAGTATCTATGCAGGGCATTTCGAATTTATGCAGCGTCATAGCAGACGACTCAACACCTCATGACTGTCATGAATGTTTTTGTGTGTGTGTGTGGGGGGGGAGGGGGGGGGGGCTATGGGCCTCGTCTGGTAGAGTGGTATGTACGCAACGTTGCGGCCAGTTAATTTCCGGCCCTTGTCTGGTGTTGGCTCCCGAGGGCTGGATGGCGTTTTGCTGACAGCCATGTTCGCATCACAACCCGAATTTTCTCCTTGACGTTTTCGAACCTGGGCCTTCTGTTTACAAGTGCAGCTCTCTGCTGCTAGGCCAGCCCGGAGAGAGACAGGGGGGACAAACTAAATTCTCTCCGGTGGCTCAGTTTTTTCCGATTACGTGTCTAGAGCTCCACTACTAAGCCAACCGGGAAGAACGGGAAAATATGACTAAAGACGATGCCGGTTAGCTCAGTGGCAGAGCGCTGCATTTGTAATGAGAAGAACGCGGTTTGAGCCACCACAAAGCCAAGGAGAAAATTCGGGTTGTGACGCGTAGACGACTGAAAACCAAACACCATGAAATCTCTCAGGACCAGATAACGTCCGACGACGGCCGGACAATCAGTTGGCCGAAACGTCGCGGACATACTAACACATCAGACGAGCACAAAAGTCAGAACAATTATTCCACCAGTGACGTCAATACATCTCCCCAATCACATCCTAAAAGGGTCACGTTGTGCCTGCTCCTGACTGTACCCATGCGGGGTCATTTGCTGACCACGGGCCACGGCTTTCCACCAAAGCCCCGCCCGCTTTGATTGCTCCGCCGTAATGTCTGTAGTCCCGCTAACGCTTCCGTTTTAATTTGCAATTTGTCCTCCCGGGTTGACAAATGGAGACATCAAAGCTGTCACCCGACACAAAACCATTTCGCTTCTCAGTTAGTCGGGGCTAGTTTCTGTAATGATGGATTTTGGTTCGTTGTTTGTGGAAATAGGACTGTGAAACGAGTTGTACTGAGTTACGGTTGAAAGGGGCTTTACGAGCAGCATTGTCAGCTTTTCGCCTGTATGGTGGTCTGCTGGTGCCACGGGATCTAGAATGTATCGTTAAGTGCTTCCCAGTCCGTTGGTGCCATCTAAGTTCAGTGGTTTCTTCAAGAGTCTGGTGGGAAGCGACGTGGATTGTATGAGCTGGATGAGCAGACTTGCAGGTGCCGGACGAGGTCTTTCAGTAGTCGTGATGATTCTAAAGGACATTCTAAAACAGCAAGGCCAGTCAGACATGTTCTGCACCGTAAGATAAACGAGCGGGCACCAATTGGCGAGCATTGTCATGCTATACTAAAACTTATACTAATGAAACCATACACCTTTGGGCGGCCACACAAATGGGTCTGATCAATGCATTGGACTGTCCGCCTGGAATGTCTTTAAAACAGCGACATCGGCCGAGTTTGGTCGAGCACTGATGCATGTGAGTTCGGATAGTCTTGAAAACAGTAAAGGGAGAATAATGCTGCAGCCAGCGAATGTGAATCTGTTGGCTTCCAGCAGGCGTGGCAGACGGCTCTAGTGAGGCTAGGCTATTTAAGTTGAATTGTTTTGTGGCTGCTGAAGTAGGGCTCGCTCGACCTGCGCCCTCGTAATGAAGGTCGGCGAAAAAACCTATTTCAGCCGCCTTATAAGCAGCTACTTGAATGACGTGTGGTTAAAATCCACCACATAAGCCCTAAGCAGATCACAAATTATCGACGCTTATCTTGTTGTGTTATTATGACACCGTTTGCACCGCTTCAAGCACTGCATTGTCATGTCCACGTTCCGGCGATTCACTGCCGCAGTACGCAAACTGAATCTGACCTCTGACGAATGTTACGCTGACAGCGGTTTCGAAGGTTGCCTTCCAGTAAAACGATAAAGAGGAAGTACCCCGTTATCAACTGATACTGTTTGGAAAGTTTTCGATGGGAACAGAAATCCTGGCGATCGGGCCTGCGCGCTGTGTCCGGCTACGATGTATCGCTCATATAAGGACAAAGGCTGCGGTGCGTAAAAGGTGAAGTCGTCCACGTACAACATCGAAATGGCATCTCATGCTGTAAAGCATGTACGCAGATTTTCATTGTTATCCCACTCCGGTGCAAATGTTTGGAAACCTGAAGGAAAAGAACGAAAATCGTCGGTGTTCGTCACCGCTGGTCCCCACTGGTCTATATCCGCTGGCAGAGGGGTTCATGTCGCTCCGCCTAACTCGCTACGCTGCCTAAACCCGTGTCGTGGTCGTCCGGCCGTTTTCAGGGTCGTGGTCGCTCGCCCTGCTGACCCAGTGTTCCCGTCGTCAGAGGGTCAGCGCTAACCTCACCCATACCGCCCGCTGACGAAGGGTCAGTACCAGTCGTGTGACCTCTGATCCGCCTCCCCCGGAAGAGGGTCAGTGCTATGTCGTCTGACCTGGTGCCCCTTGCCGATAGAGCCAGTACCACCCCGTCTGACCTCGTGTCCCGCTGACAGAGGGTCGGTATTCCCCCTCCGAACACTTCTAACCCTGTGACCCGACGACAGAGGGTCAGTATCGCACCATCTGAACCTCGTCTGACCCCGTGACCGCCGCCGGCAGAGAGTGGGCGTCGGGCCGCGGCTGCGGCTGCGCGCTACGCGCGAGACGGTCGGCCGGTACGAGTGCCACGCCTCGGCCGAGGGCTTCCCGGCCGTGTCGCGACAGCTGACGCTGTTCGTGCGGGCGCGGCCGGAGGTGACGGCCAGGGCCCGCCAGCAGGGCGTGGCCGGCGAGACCGTGCACGTCGAGTGTGTGGTGGCGAGCGTGCCGCCGCCGCACACCACCACCTGGTACTTCCAGCACGAGCAGCTTTCGCCAGGTGAGTGGCCGCTGGCGAGCCGACCAGCACCAGACTGAGGGGGTCAGCAGGGGGAAGCCAGCAGGGGGGGGGGGGGGGGGGTCAGCAGGCGGATGAGGACGCGGGGTTGCGGACATCGGTGAGAAGGTAGAGGTTGACGGTGAGAGTGGCAAAATATGTCTCTGGTTGTGTGGTGGAATGTGGCATAGAGACAGGAGTTATTGACAATGCAAGGATGTGTGGGGTGTCAATGACTAAGTGGAGCTTAGGACGGGTTTCCCGGCAAGCCGCAGGGCGTGTTTCTGGCTCTGCCGGTGCGCTCCAGTGGGTGAGGCTGCTCTTGTTGCTAGGAAATTCCCGGCGAATAGGCGAGCGCTGGTGCGATCATTTCAAATGACCCAGAAATTAGTCTGTGGGGTTTCCAGTTAAAATCGATGGGCCGTAGTTTCGGCGTTCGAACGGAGAGAGCGCAGTTATGCATGAAAGCCTCGCTAACTTCCTCGTAGTTTGTTTAGAGCCCTTGCAAAGTTGCTGGAAAGTATCAAAATTGAACTGGTGTCTCACGCATTTGATCGGATTCCGCACCAATCAAGTACGATTAATTAAACTGGCTCAGGTTGTTTCGGCGCTGTACCATTTGGCCACGGATCCGCGTCTGTTTTCACAGAACTATCCGGCTATAAAGTGATAGAGGAGCCCGTGGTTGGCGGTGTGCGCAGCCTTCTGGTGATCCCACGGGCGCTCGACAAGGACTTCGGTCTCTACAACTGCTCCTTCGAGAACGCGTACGGCAGCGATTCGGCGGCCATCATCCTGCAAAAACAAAGTGAGTGGTCGGACGCCGGGCGCCGGGGAGAAGTCGTCTGCCAACTCGCCAGCGCCACGTGAGAGACTTGTGCAAGGCACAGAATCTCGGAGGAGGTGCAGAGCGTCGGCCACTGCACGCACGCGGCTCATGCACCGCGGCGACGTCGACCTGTCAAAGCTGCACGCGCTCTCGTGCCCGAAGCAGACGTCCGATGCATAGCGGCGTGCCGTGACGAGCTGCCGTTTCCGGCGGCCGCCGGCGCCGCCGTCGGTGGCATATTTGTAATGGCATTAGGCCGCCGGCTGCCGTGCCCTTTACGGTCGGGCCGTACACCCCCGGAGCGCTCGTATTTGGCGCTGCATTTTTGGCTCATGAAATGTCGGCCGTCGCTGCCGATTACTGCTCGGCTGGCGCTGTCTGTTTGACACGCGGACGGGCTGTCAGGATGGCGCACTGTCGGGGCGCTGTCTGGATAGGAACACTGCGCAGTGCTGTTTGGAAACTGACAGGATGCTGTCTGGAGCTGGAACTGGCTGGGTGTTGCGAGGAGATGCCGAATGGGTTGGATTACTGGGATAGTGTTGCTCTCGGAGTGAACAGACGCCCCCGTCGGTGCTGTCTGGAGACTGGTCAAATTCTGCCTAGCTTTGTCTGGAAACAGATAGCGCACGGCCTGGAGTTCTCCGAGAGTTAAAAGCACCACCCGTAACTAATTCCTAAAAGCGAGGCTGAAACTTGCTCCCGCTCTAAACCTGGAATATCGTATACCCATGCCGTATGCCCATTCCGGCAGGAAAGTTGTCCAGTTCAGCCGATTCGTCCTGTCCATTAGTGACTTGAACCGCAATCCCGATGATAATGCCCTTGTTTTTGACCCTGACGCGCACGCCGTACGACTCAAAAGTGGTGTAAGTTGCGGCTTTGTCTCACGTAACCGGCTTCTCTGCTTATCGAAGACATGTCTGGGGGCTGTGTGGACACTGTGTTGCGGGCGTCCGACGACGGCCGCAGCACTAGCGGACGGTCGCAACACGCTCCAGCGCGCCGCGGGGGCGGCACGTTGGAGCGTGCGATGCTCTCCTCCGCGGCTTTTGAGTGCCGCGTATTTGATCGGCAAGCAATATCGGCCGGCCCCGTACGGCGTAACCGGGCCGGGTAGAGCTGGACGAGGCTGGGCCGACCAGAGCCGATCAGAGCCGATCAGAGCCGAGCCGAGCCGAGCCGAGCCGAGCTGGACCGTACCCTACCGTACCGTACCGGACCGGACCGGACCGGACCGGACCGGGCCGAGCTTGGCCGTCCAGGCTCGCCGCGCGATGCCATTTTGGCTTATATTTGATGCGATGCCGCAGGCGCGATGAAGCCTTGCTGTTTTCCTGGCGGAGCTTATCAATGTGCGTTGTACGCTAATCATGTCAAGTAAACGCTCAGCGAAGAGTATTTCATTCATGCCAGCCGTGCACGGTATCTAGTCGGGCATGCTATTAGCGCTCCGTCAATCACAAAGGCTGCCGATGTCGACCCATCGGTGTTAGCACCGGGACTGAACGCTACGGTGTTCATGCGGTGCGGCGTTTATTCACATTTTGGGCAATATACCTGACAGCGGTATTCAAGAATAGCAAAATCCATCAAGTTGGTAAACACCATACATCAACTGAAAACGGAAGCCCGTCTGTGCCTTTGCGCCATGACCTAGTCGCCGCGGCTTGCAGGCTTTCTATCGGCGTGCGGATCAGGCCCAGGGCTTGGGACGGTGTAGGGCGGCGAAGGACGATGATGATGCTTCAGCGTCCTGCTTTGTCGGCGGCCACTATTTCATTCGCGTCGCATCCCAGCGACTCCCGCTTTGAGCCCATCCAGCCCGCCCGAATACCTTTTATGTACGTTCTGTGGACTGTATTTCTCGTTATTGAGTTTACTGTGAAGAACATCAAAGGCCGTTTATTGGATGACGAAAGCCGTTAAACGCGGAAAATGAAGTCAACCGGGCGTCCAGCCGACCATCAAGGTTCTCCTGACCCTTCCGAGCGGACGGTGCGCTCCTGAACACTTCCCCAGTCTGCCGCGTTCTCCTGACCCTCCCTGCGGACTATGCGCTCCTGAACACTCCACCAGCCCCCTCCGTTCTCCTGACATCTCTCTAAGGTGGCCACGTGCTCCTGACCCCTTCCTGCGGACTGTGTGCTCCTGAACACTTCCCCAATCTGCCGCGTTCTCCTGACCCCTCCCTGCGGACTATGCGCTGCTGAACACTTCCCCAGTCTGCCGCGTTCTCCTGACCCCTCCCTGCGGACTATGTGCTGCTGAACACTTCCCCAGTCTGCCGCGTTCTCCTGACCCCTCCCTGCGGACTATGCGCTGCTGAACACTTCCCCAGTCTGCCGCGTTCTCCTGACCCCTCCCTGCGGACTATGCGCTGCTGAACACTTCCCCAGTCTGCCGCGTTCTCCTGACCCCTCCCTGCGGACTATGCGCTCCTGAACACTTCCCCAGTCTGCCGCGTTCTCCTGACCCCTCCCTGCGGACTATGCGCTCCTGAACACTCCACCAGCCCCCTCCGTTCTCCTGACATCTCTCAAAGGTGGCCGCGTGCTCCTGACCGCTGTCCAAGTGGACCACCAGGACTCTCCTGATCGCTCTTGTAGACGACCATCAACTGCCAGCGATTCTGCTGACTTTTGTCGTAGTCACCCACTAAGGCCTCAGCCACCTCGCTCCGACCACTCCACTGGCTGAGGCCTCGTCCACCTCGCTCCGACCTCTCCACTGGCTGAGGCCTCGGCCGCCTCGCTCCGATTCCTCCACTGGCCGAGGCTTCGGCCACTTCGCTCCGACCTCTACACTGGTAGCTACCAATGATCTCGACTCAATTTTTATTCATTCATTTAAATAAATCCTCAAAGGATTTACGGTAACATTTTGGAAACGTTATTGGTTCCACAACGAAGGCAAAATTGTGAGGTCTTCCGCTCAGAGTTATAGCTCAAAAGTTTGCAGAAATATTTTGAAGTAAAGACCAAACGGCCGGCAAAAGAAAGACGCCATATGCACCGGCACTTAAGCCGGATTTTGCAACTGTCTGCAAAGATTTTAGCTGCATGCACGTAACCATGTAACATGGTTTTTGGTGCAGCGTGCCACGTGGTTACAACCTGAGCCGCCCCTGGCGCGGGATCAACGGTCGGTCTCGGCGGGGTACAGCCTGAGCCGCCCCTGGCGCGGGATCAACGGTCGGTCTCGGCGGGGTACAACCTGAGCCGCCCCTGGCGCAGGACCGGCAGCCAGTCTCGGCGGGGTACAACCTGAGCCGCCCCTGGCGCAGGATCAACGGTCGGTCTCGGCGGGGTACAACCTGAGCCGCCCCTGGCGCAGGACCGGCAGCCGGTCTCGGCGGGGTGCAGCCTGAGCCGCCCCTGGCGCAGGCGAGCCGCCCCTGGCGTCCGCAGACGGGCGCTGTTTTGGACCCAACTGGCCCTTATTCCGGATTACGGCGCTGTGACGGACAGCCTGGCAAACATCAGAGGTGGCCGAGCGTGCGGCAGCGCGCGCGGGGCTCTCCCGTCCTCCCCCCACCCGCGTACCGCAGGCCCGTCGGCACGGGGTGCTCGTCGCGCCGGCGCACTCAATCCGGGTCTATCGCAGCTGCAAAGTGGCTCCGAGACCTCGTTTCACGGCGGCGCGGGACGTCCTCCATGCCAGTTCCAATAGGGGCAGCCGACTGCATCGCACCGTTCATCAGTATGCAGCCGGGCGTCGCCGACGGGCCGCCGGTGTCCGGCAGCGCCGCTGCTTATCAGAGGCGCCGGCTCCCGTGCCATATGACAAGAGCCCCGCCGGCGGGGCCCGACAGCGGGTCACCGGCGCCTGGTCTCGGCCGGCACCGCCCGACGCGAGAGGAGCTCGTGCCGCCGCCGGGCGAAGACGAGGCGGGAGCCGGGCGCCGGCGGCCGCGGAATGGCTCCGATTCGAGCCCACGTCTGCGGCGTGGCGTGATCAGCTGGCAAGTGTGTGGTTATAACGGCTGGTCCGCGTAATGCGCATTCGCCGCTGCGCAGAGCGTCGTGGAGGTGAGCGACGGAAGAGTGGACCAGCCGCGCCGCCCCTGACTCCGGCCTCCACCCGTCTCTCGCAGGAGCGCTGCCGCTGCTGGTCATCCTGATCTTCGTCATCGGCGGCATCGTGGTGATCGCGGCCATCACGCTGGTCATCATCCTGTGCCAGCGGCGGTACCGGCGCGCCTCGGACAAGCCGAGCGGTGAGCATTGATCTGCGAGCGCGCTGCAGCGCCGTTAGCTGCCCATTGGAGCGGCGGGATGGCGTGTTAGCGGATAGTAGCGGCGTGGTGGCGGCCGGGCGCGGCGGCCACCGGCCTCGCGCCCGGCAGCAGCTCGGACCACAGTGCTCCGGAAATCACTGTGCCGGTGTGGAACGCGGGCGTTATGTTGGATGGCCCTCTGGTGCGTGGAAACACCTGTCATTTTAAGCCTTTTAAAGTGGATGCTAAACACGCATATTCGTTTTAGCACTGATATGTTTGCGTGGTACGTACACATGCGCTTGCCATAGGTATGCATGTCGTGTTTCTTGGGATACAGGGTGCTCCGCATTTCCGAGCAGACCGCGATCCACCCGTCCACTATCGGTCCTTTCAGGCTTGAAAATTACGCCTGCAGCAATGTAAACAGAGCACTCGTAACATTGTGCGCTTTCACCGCAAACGCGACCGCCTCCCAAGCCTCTTACAACTAGAACACGACGACGACTCGTTAGGCGTCTTTCCTTTATGAGGTGCGGTACAAGATGAGTCGTTTCAAGTTCGCATTTCCCTCGTCCTTTTGTATGCTGCCAATCGCGGTAGTCAGGCCTGCCAGCAACAGTCAGCGTCAACATCACAAACCAGGCACTGGAGCCGCACAAGTCATCGCCCGGTTAGCTGGCTCCGTTCTCGTGCTCACTGCCCGCATTGGAGGTGGAGAGGGTCAAGTCCCCTCCTCCAGTCTGCTGGCTTCTTCCCTGGACTTTGTGAGCCGCCCCTCCCCTGTCTGGTGACCGCCACCCTGCGTGTGGACCGCTGGCGCCCGGTGACGTCTGGTGACGCCCGGTGACGCCCGGTTACGCCCGGTGACGCCCGGTGACGCCCGGTGACGCCCGGTGACACCCGGTGACACCTGGCGACACCCGGTGACGCCCGGTCGGGTGGCCCACAGAGCAGGCGCGGCGCGACAAGCTGAGGCACCAGACGGACGGCAGCTCGTCCGACTCCGACCTCAAGGAGGAGATGGGCGTGATCATCACCGACCGGTGGCAGGCCGGCCATGACGTCATCACTGACCGGTGGCAGGGCGACGGTGAAGCCGCCGCCGGCCGAGGCGGGGAAGACGCTGCCGGACTGCTGGACGGCCCGCACTTCGCCAAGGTAAGTCTGCTGGGACGCCCGCACTCCGCCAAGGTAAGTCTGCTGGGACACGCGCACTTCGCCAAGGTAAGTCTGCTGGGACGCCCGCACTCCGCCAAGGTAAGTCTGCTGGGACACGCGCACTTCGCCAAGGTGGGCCTGGCGACAATGGTGGAAGGTCCGCACTTGGCCAAGGCGGACCTGGTGGGAGGAAGGCCCTAAAACAACGGCGGGAGGCCCGCACTTTGCGCAGGTAAGTCTGCTTGGACGCCCGTACTTTGCTAAGGTGGGCCTGGTGGAAGCAAGGTCCTACAACAACCGTGGAAGGTCCGCACTTCGCCAAGGTGGGCCTGGTGGGGCGCCCGTCATCCGCCAAGGTGGGCCTGGTGGGGCGCCCGCCATCCGCCAAGGTGGGCCTGGTGGAGCACCCGTCATCCGCCAAGGTGGGCCTGGTGGAGCGCCCGCCATCCGCCAAGGTGGGCCTGTTTGGCCGACCGACCGCGCCGAGGCCGGCCGACGCGCCTGCGGCGGCGGGCTCAGAGCCCGGCGCTCCCGGTAGCGATAATGGGGTTTCGATTGTTTTACGACGCGTGTAGCTGCCGTGGTCATTAGCGTCGCGATCTTCCTCGTCGATCGTCGGTCAGAAATTGAAACGCTGCTGCCACACTCAGACGATTGCCCGCCGAAGGGCATCGAGCCACATCCAATATCCTTCCATTATCCACGCTCAAAGGCCTGCCAGGCTGGTTTTGCAATCAGATGACTTTCATCCGGCCTATAAATGCGGTCTCCGTAATTGCCACCTACAAATTAGAATGATTAATGTTTTTCGGGCAATGTAATGACGTTAGGGGTGGTGGTGATGGTGGTGTGTCCTTAACTTTGGATTCGGGATCTAATTAATTAACGGATAACGGACACCGTTAATTTCGGCTGCAAGTGGTCGGGATTCAACGCCGGTAATTCGTTCGAGCTCGTATCTTTGAAGTATATGGCGGATGTACACTTACAAATACCAACTGATTGGAGAACGCCCAAAGGTTTTACACGTGAGCACGCTCTTTACCAGCGCAGCAGGTATACGCCAAGGCATCACTGTTCCAAGAGCCTCTACCTCCGATCACTGGTGGTTCGCTGTAGAGCATGCAGTCTCACCACGTGCCAAGAGCTTAATACCTTTCTCGGAAATTCTCGTGTGGTTCTGACTTCTGATCCCCTCCCCAAAGTTTTCAAAGGCCTCAGGCGGCTCTGGCGCTGCTCTGTGTCCCGAACAAAACCAAAACAGCGGATGGTCGACCTTCACCGTTGATATTGTTTGGGCCGGACAGCTCTCCACAACGACCGGGGTGATGACAGGTATCCTCCCTGGTCCCTATCCCTGGTGACTGTGGAAAGCAGCGATGGTGGCCTCAACTTAAATGCTGTATCACGGTGTCACCTGATCACCCCATCCTGACCTGGCCATCGGCACCTCCCGGTGCCTCGGCGCGCTGCCCTGACCGCCGCCACGTCCCGCTGCCGCAGGAGACGGCGACCTTCGGCGACCTGGCCGGCTACCCGTGCTACGACCAGCACGGCTACGCGCAGCCGCCGAGCCGGGCGGCGCGCGGCCTCTACACGGGCTCGGCCAGCCCCCCGGAGCCGGGCCGGCCCGCCGACGCCGGCCGCTACGCCCGCTACGGCCGCTACGACGCCGAGCCGCCGGGCCGCGCGCAGTACGTGCTGGACAGCCAGCTGACTCCGGGCTCACTGGCGACGCACGTGTGACCGGCTCCGAGGCCGCGCCGATGCCGCCGTCGCTGCCCCCTACCCTATACAGTGTGTGCCAAAGAGGGCCGGCCGCGCGCCACGGACCCGCCGCCGGCCGGCCCCGTGTTAGCTGCCAGGGTGAGAGTGGGATCGCTGGACGGGACGCTGCTGGGCGCCGACGCGCGCCGGCGTCCCGTCCAGTCAGTGAGAGAACAGGTGGTGCTTGCTGTTGATGGCGCGTTGTTTTTTACTCCTCGATCGGTGTACTGCGACTCCGATCGGTGTACTGTGACTGTGATAATTTGTAAATAAAGACGCTATGCCCCGTGGATTTTGTGTTGGAATGCACGGTGAGCGGTTTACATACATACATACACATATATATATATATATATATATATATATATATATATATATATATATATATATATATGTATGGGAATGTCATATTGGTGATACATCTCAGCCAATTCAGCGGCCTTCAAACAAACGGCTTTGGCCGTTTGTTCGAGGATTAATATGGTGCGCTTGTCGTTTTCGGCGTGTCGATGCTGAATTTTGCCAGAGTTCATTTATTTTTCAAGGTTTTGATCAGTTCGACGATCATGATCAAGGCAATTTTTACACTATTAACACGCATTCACACACAGCACACATATACGCTTTCGGTTTTCGTCGTATGCGTACGAGATACACGCTCGGGTCATTTGTAAAGAAAACATTGGCATGGCACCAGCTCCAATTCATGCCATTTATTCTAATCCAAGCCATTATCTGTTATTCAAAGTGGTTTGAATCAAAGGATACTACACACCGATTGATTTTTCCCAATGTCCGGAGCGTGTATTTCGTAAGAATGGGATGAAAACCGAAAGTGTAAATATTCACTTTGTATGACTGAATACTTTTAGTGCGAATATTGCCTTGATAATATTCATGATCAACAAATAACGATCAACAAATTTATCGAAGCGATGGAAAATAGATGAATTTTGGCAAGATTATACGTAAAAAATCGTAAAAGACAAACGCACCATACGCAGCCCTGAACAAACGACCAAGGTCATGAGCGCTGAAGTTGCAGTGGGTTACAGCCAACAATACCTAAGAGAAAACCTGCTCCCAAAATGTTTATATATATATATATATATATATATATATATATATATATATATATATACGTCTATCCATCTGTCTGTCTATCAATCCTTCAATGCGTTTCTAATCAAGCTTTAGTTGTCCGACGCGGATGTCGAGCATGTCCAAGAGCAATTCATTGCATTGGGCAGCGTAATGCATCCGGAAGGATAGGCGCCATAGATTTGGATGAGCAGGCGTGGATAAGGCTGGATACGCAATCACCGTGCGGTCCTTTCAAAGCGTTCCGCAGTACGCCGTGCTAGCCATAGCTGATTGCGTCCAACATAGGTGTCAAGCTCAATCCAATTATGCATGTGCTGTGCGAAGATATGCCAACACATTTTGGTGTGCGGATCACGATAAACGGCGCGCGTTCCCTGTCCCGGAGCTGGGACCGTGCTGAATTTCAATCTGCGTCGGTCTGCAAGTCACGTGTTTACGTATCATGTTCAGCTGAAACGACCATTTTTAGTGGCATCCAACCCGTTTTCTGCATTTTCTGCATGATGTATACCGAGGTGCACCTGCGTTTGCGGTCTCTACCGGCCGCAAAGCGTGTTTGCCGTCGTCTCTGCATCTTTCATTGCCCCACAGCATGCAAAGCCGGCACACCTTCCGCTCCGCTCCACGGTCCAGCCGGCGGTAGGATTGCGGACCGGTCCATGCCTACCTGCATTATTTCTCGCCGCGTGTGGCAATGCATTCAACTCTGACACATTCACTTGACATGTCGGCTGTGGCGATATCAGAAGGGCCAGTGACAGCCGGCCGCCGCGTGCCGTCCAGGCCGTGCCGCAGGGCGCTGGCCGGCGGTGTCGGCGGCGGAGCAGCTGCAGCCCGTCCCAGGTGCGTCGTGCGCGTGTTCAATACCAACGCTACGCGGTGAGGGAGGCTGTCATACGACAGGTCGTCAGTCGTCCTCTCGACAGGACAGCAAGTCGTCGAGAGGATGGTTTAAAGAACATAGGGTGGTTTTGATTTCATGGCAGGAGCTTATTCTAGGTAGAGATGATGGTCTTTGGGATTTATTGCTGGCCGGCTTGGTGATAACTTTGCGGCTAAAATAACCTGCTAACCTGACTGCTTAAAAGTGTGCTTCATTCCTGAGATCGAGGTGTCGTTCGGATTGTATAATTAAAGACGCGTGAAACATAGTACGTAATGTGCGTCGGATGTATAGCGGGTCACGAAAAAGTTCGTGCTGCTTAGGACAAGATGAGGACAAGATAACTACACACAGGAGGTACGCGATAAGGGGACATGGCAGCTGACGTGATTAAAAATGGTATAATGGCCTAAGCCCGGGTGCGGACATCCCGTCCTGTTTGCCTCGACTACATAAGGGTGTGGTCGCCCACGTGCTATCACTTCAGTGAGTGTTCTAATGTAAATACTGACTCACACATCCAGCACGTGTGAGACGAAAACACAGCTTATCACATCTGGGTTTGACTGCCGTGTCTTCAGAAGGAAAACAAAGACACAAAATAGCCTGTTTCTGAATGTCGACACCTGGGCGCTACCTCCTCACTGGTATGCGGCTGAGGCACTGACGGTAGGACTCAGCTATTATTCTGAAATCAGTCGTGAGCCTAGCATCAGGCGCGGGCCGATGCCTTCAGACGGTCTCCGTAGATGTATCAGACGGGATGCCTCTGCCATCGCCTGTCTCAGTGTCAGCGCTCAGCGCGGTAGTGGGTCCGTGCTGGTCACATTTTGGTGTGTTTTCTTCTGATAACATGATGCTCAATTGAATTGACCAACTGCGTTTAACGGTTGTCAGAAAGTTGCTACTAAGCGCGCTCTTCTCTTGTGTCGAGAGTTTTTTTATTGGTGAAACTGGGCGTAGCACAGCCAGTAGAAACCGTCAAAAGTAGCGATATTGCCCTCTTCCATTTCACAATAGTAAGAACGCCTTTGTGAAAACGGTGAATTTGGACTGTCAACCCACACCAAATTCAACCAATGTAAAAGCCTTTCAATCCGTGCCTGTTTAAATCGCCGGTGGCGCCAAGCCGGAAACCATGGCAACAGGCGAAAATATCAGCTTTGGTCTGGGCAATTACTGGCTCAAGTGAACTCACCGTTGAGTTAATTGAAGAAAACATAGATCGTCGCACCGTTGAGGTACCACTTGACATCTTTCTGGACATCTTCCCAGCTCACTCACGGCAAGCACATACGCGTTATATAAAGCAGCAGCACGGCAAAATGATGCACATCCTCCCCGCCCGGGGATGCGGGGTTTGGATGACTGGTAGCTGTGCACGAGCTTGGTTGCAGGCTGCTGTAAAATGCGGCTAGACGTCCACTCAGCGGAGGCTGCAGAGCTGCAGGCGTCCGCTCTCTCGTGACCTGACCTCTGCAGCGATTTTAGCGGTCTGGCCGGGCCCGGGAGTCGTCGCCGGCTCAGCAGTCCTTGACAGTCATCTGTGTGCATAAGCAGCCGCACTCACCGGATGACAAGGTTATAGAAGGCGTTATAGTCAGGACTACTAGCTTTTCCCGTGCCGTGCTGTGTGACAGTGGCCCGCCGCTGTCACCCCTCTGCTAGCCTAACCATCGCCTGTGTGACAGTGGCCCGCCGCTGTCAACCCTCTGCTAGCTTAACCATCGCCGGCGCGTGGTCACCATCACGACCGAGGTGGGTCAACCGGCTTGCGTTGTCAGATATCGTCGGACACGCTTTTTCAATAAGCTCAGTCATCGCAGCGTTATCGATTTCAGATAGCGTTCTGTAGCCCATGCATCATTCCTGTTGATACCGATACGTTGAGTTACTTTCATCGCGATGTTTCGATACACTTGTGCATCATCATTAGGGCATTATATTTTAAGAAATGAGGAAACAAGGCAATATTTAACAAACATCGCCGGGTGGTATCTCACATACCGTCCATGGCAAGTAAGCTCATGGTCAAGGTTCGCACAATTAAACAATGCTCAACACTCATCTCCGTGGGGATAAGTCAGCGGGAAAAGTACAAAATCACACGACGAATCGGTAAGAGCAAAAGGCTACCTAATAATTTGCTAGGAGTGTACAGACCCGATGCTACTCAATACTGGCCTTTTTTGGTAACTATTAAGTGATTCTAAAATTGCAATATCAAGAGAAATATCGCATCGTGCTAGTGGGGAAACATCTTCAATGTTAGAGATAGTGTCGCTCACAAATAAATAATCTCGGATGGGCGAATGGCATGGGTTGGAGAGAATGTGCTTGTACGGTCAGACCTTTACAAGTGTTGTTATACTCTGCGGTGTAGGTAATGGCATGGGTTGGAGAGAATGTGCTTGTACGGTCAGACCTTTACAAGTGTTGTTATACTCTGCGGTGTAGGTAATGGCATGGGTTGGAGAGAATGTGCTTGTACGGTCAGACCTTTACAAGTGTTGTTATACTCTGCGGTGTAGGTAATGGAGGGCTGAGTCCACGTATGGTGCTCTACATGAATCAAAACAATATTCATTAATGACTTGAAAGGCCAAACACCTGGAAAGCTTGTCTTGTCTGGAAGGAGCCAACAATGAAGGAATTCACTGCTACCTTTCTTGGGGGATACGAAAGGAAGAAAAACTTGCAGTAGGCTTACCATATCCTTTTCAATTTGAGTCCTAGGACCTCATGACCAGGAGGAGTCTTATATGTTTTGGGCCAAAGGACTAGTTATCAAAGCATCATTGTTTGAAAGTGGGAGACCGTATTATTGAAATAATTATCTGAGCTAACCAAGTTAGGAAGAAAAGAGTTTTGCTGAAACGGAAGGCTCTGTAAATAGCCACTTATACGCTACATAGCTCAAAGGGAGTATTCCACATCTATATAGGGTATTGAACTGAAATAGCTATCTTGAAGACCTTTTGATGTTTCTCACAATCCTGCCTTTTCTAAGACCTAAGCCCCTCTAATTTCTGAACTACACGCCCGCGAAAATGGGAAAAGGTATATCGGGTACAGTATTTCAAAGTCATCTTGGCATTCCCTTCGTCATGATAACGTCATTCAAGTCCCGCTATTCCACAAGCGATGCGGCGATCAAGACGAATACAAATATAAATGTCCAG